AAAAAAAAAATTCATCTATAAACCAAAAAGTAGCCACTTTGCAAAATGTTAAAAAGCGCAAAAGCAATTTGAGTAAGCAAACATTGGAATGAGGTGGCATTTATGCTACTATCCGCAATCTACAACACAAAAGAACAAAAGCATTAAATTAGCAGAAGCCACAAATTTAACAGACTGCCAAAAACACAGGATGCATAACTCTTCATATATTGCATAATGTAGGAGTTAATCTCCCTTTTCTATTAAAATCTTCTTAGAAAAGCACGAAGGGGTGCCGGAAACAATCAATTAATCATCCAAAGATAGTATGTAAGAACACATTAACAAGAAATTTCAAGCATACTCTATGCAAGAAAAAGAAGAAAATGAGAATCATCACATTATCCAATATTTCTAGAGAAAGATGTAGATTGAAACAAAAAAAAAAAACAGAGAAACAAAAGAAAACTAAACTGTGGCATTGTCCCATGAACTTGGAACCTCACATTAGACTCTGAAAAATACAATCATGCAGGACTACAAAAGTTAGCAACATTTGCTGAAAATAGAGGTGAAGAATGAAAAGGAAGGCAGCAGAATGGCTTAAAAGCAGCCTTATTTTTTATAAAAATGATACTTAACTTGCTTCAAAAGATGAATTATAAATGCATGTAAAATACATTCTAGTAAATTTATAAAATGAAGCTACTAAATCAAGCGCAAAGACCATCAATCAATTTCAACACACAATCCATAATAAACATTAAAAAAAAAAAGACAATGCATAGTTCTGCAAAAGCCCTGCAAAATCCAAGTTTTTCATCCACTGAACAAACCAACAACTAAAGCAGAAAAAAACTCAGCAACAATTGAAGAAATTACTAGAAAAGAAATCAAACCACCTGCAAAACATCAGCGAAGCTCCTTCTCCTTGTTCCAAGCCCACTCTCCGGCAACCCTATCAGACCATCTCGTCCCCTCTCCAGCCATTCCCCACCATGCTCCATGGATTCCTTCTCATCTTGCGCCAAAAGACTGGGTTGCATTGAAAAAAGAGAGCGGCTACTTCCATCACTTTCAAACGATGGCTTCCTCCCCCTCCGATCACCAATCCCTCCTAACCCAGACCCACCAGGCCCAAACCTCTGCGCCACACGCCAATCCTCCTTAGACAGCAAAGGAGGAGGTAGCCGTGGATTCAGATTCTCATTAGAGTAGTAGTAAGACATGTAAGCAAGTTGCGATCGCATCTCCTCCTCCAACAACTCATCCTTAGCGTTCTGTCCCTCAAATCCACCGACTTCTGATCGGCCAAACAAGCTCCCGATGGCGTTCCTCGACCCTTCAACAGTCGGCGGAGCACTCCCACTGCGATAGACATTGAGATCCCTCTCTCGATTAATGGATGCTCGGCTTTGATGGTGATGTTTCTGCTGTTCGCGAAGTAGCGCCTCTATGTCGTTCTCGAAACCCTCCTCAAAACTCACCGAAGCCATTTTTACTGCACCCCGCAACCTAATACGAGGAGAACCGCCATGAACAATAAGCATCAAAGGAAAAAAAAACGTAAAGGCCGTATTTTTCAGAACGAGAAGGATCAAATGTCCTCACCTTCACGAGATTTCAGGCATCAGATCGGTCATAAATGTATGCCAATAGCCAAATAACCTGATTCAATTCAAAAGATTTGATTTTTACAAGGAAGACGAGCAGGGTTTCCGATATTATGGATCCCTGCGCGAATTCAGAGAAAAATAATGTGCACAACGGATCGATCTAGGCTGTCGGAAATTGAATCGAGCGAGGGAGAGTTATCCTCCTTGCTGGAGAGAAGGGGAACGGAAACAGGAGAGGGTAATAAAAAGGGCAGAATGTACTGGAGAATACCTGACCGTTGGATGGCCATTGAACGGCTGCTGAACTTGCAACGCGGACCAAATTGGGTTGTATGCGCTGGGGACGCGATTTCAGTAAAAATAGAAATTTTTTATTTGGCATTTATATCCATAACTTCCAATTTTTAAAAATTTCCATATTTTTTACATAATTTGTTATATTTATTTATTCAATAATTTATTTTTTTTTAAAACAGCATAAAAATTTATTATTATTGACTTTTTAAAATGGAAAAAATATTTTCAATTTTATATTTTAGTATTATTTAAACGCTAAAATATTATATAAGTAAATATATCAATTTAGATATTAGATATATAAATACATTAAAATATAGTGAGAAGTATACAAATCCAATAACTTTTTATATATTTACAAATTTAGCGCGTAATAATTTATATTTATTTATTTAATCTACTAATATTTAAATAGTTTAAAAAGTATCATTAATATTAATTTATTTAAAAATGCATTTTAAAAATATTTTAATGTTATTTAAATATATCTTTAATGTGGTAGATATTATTTATATAATATAATATCTTATTCTTGACCCAATAATTTAGTTGATGTGATCTGACCTATGTAATTCTCACCCCAAAATTTATTGTTATATTTTTTTAGTAAAATCAAATAAATTTTCATAGGATGTTAAGTAAACTCATTTCAGGTCAATATTTTAACTTAACATTAACTGATTAAAAAATTAGAAAACTTTAATTATGATTTGATGATGATTGATATGAAAAACACTTAATTACATATATTAATTTCTTTGCACTATGATTTTGGAAAGATTCATTTTAGGTTAATTTAAAGGGGTTGATTGAATCAAATCGCAATGAATGCTCGTCTTTTTTAAGAAAATAAATCAATTATAACATATATGTGATTCAAAAAGTAATCCATTTGTATAAGAAAAATGGAGTTTCTCAAGCGATCGTGAGGCCGACGACCAATCAAATGAGTGTTGGCGACCGGAAGGCAATCTCAGGGGGATGAGAGCCGCCGTAAACAAGCATTGAAAATGATCGTCAAATTTTAAGGAGCTAAGAAAGCATTGTTGGTTGCCTAATCAGAACCCAACACCCTATAGCGACAAATGTGAAGTCGAGTTAATCTGAGGCTGAGCGATCATGATTGTCATGGGATGAGTAACCCAAGTCACAGACACACCAAACCAAGCCGACAGATCAGGAACTCTGGATGAACCATCTAACCGAGGGCAAGTATTTGACGTCGAGTGATCAAGAAGAGGGAGCTCCCAACCGGGCGACTGATGGTTCAAACGACCGGAAGTATGTTATGGGCAGAAGTAATTGAACAATTAACA